TGCAGAGCTCAAACCCACAAACTATAAGATCATGACCTGAGCCAAGGTTGGACTCACCAACTTGATCCACAACTAACCAACTGAGCCACCCAGGTGCCCCTCTTTTCTTTCATTCTTATTAGTGTTTTGGCTACCCATCATTAAAATACCAGAAGGTAACTTAGTCATATGATTGTGCCTTATTTTAAACATTACATGTACACTTTAAAAATTACATTAAATTGTTAAATTTTTAACCAAAAAATTTTGTTAAATGTTTTTTATTTTATTTTTGAGAGAGAGAGAGAGAGAGGGAGAGAGAGAGGGAGAGAGAGTGCATAGGGGGAGGGGTAGATAGAGCGAGACACAGAATCCGAAGCAGGCTCCAGGTTCTGAGCTGTCAGCCCAGAGCCCGACATGGGGCTCGAACTTGTGAACTGTGAGATCCTGACCTGAGCCAAAGTCGGATGCTTAATTGACTGAGCCACCCAGGCACCCCAATTAAATTGTTAAATTTAATCAAATTTAAAATGTGTGAAGATATTGATAACAACCCTGGAAAACTGTTTCAACTTAAGCTAAGTATACATCCACCCAGCAAACTCATGGGCATGTAACCAATAGAAACGAGTGCTTACATTCACCAAAAGACATGTTGTTAGAATGTTCATAGTATTATTACTTATAATGGCTCCAAACTGTAAAGTATAAGCAGAATAGATGAAAAAAAAATCAAAGCAGAATAGATGAAAAAATCCAGTACGGTCTTCTAGAGCAATAAAGCACCTTAAAAAAAAAAAAAAAGATTGAGATTCTGGATAATGTTGAACAAAAGCTAGACACAAAAGAGTACATATGTATAATTTCATTTATATGAAGTTCAAAAGCAGATAAAAAATGATCTATGGTGGTAGAGGTAGAAGTAACGGTCAACCTTTGTGGGATTATTGACTGGATAGGTCTGCAGAGGGGTCTTCTGGAGTGTTGAACATATTCTGTACCTTGATCTGAATGGTGGTTACATATGTAAATGTTAATTTACATATGTAAATTATAAATATGCACTTAATGTTTGTATGCTTTGCTTTATGTTGTACTCCTCATTCTCCACCCCTCCTATGCCTGAGGTTTCTGAGCCTGGGGTTGAGGGCACCTTCTAAAGAGGGGGCCCCCTCTTTGCTGCCCTACCTTTTCATGTATTCTATGCAGAACCCTGTTTGGGGGGCTGAGGTTATGAGCTTTATTTTTATTTGTTTTGTTCCATTATTTAGTACACTTCCATTCCTCTTTTACCTTCCGGGAATTTATATTTTAGTTAAAATTTTTTTAATATGATAAGTATGATATTGTTATTATAAACATATAAAAAGTTAGAGTTCACTTACAGTTATAATTACTTGAATAGTCTCATTTCTGCTGTTTCTCAGTTATAACTAAGTATAACTAACTATAATTATGTCTCCCAATGGAAAATTGCGTTCAGGTTATATTCTGATTTATATGGATTTATAACATTATCTTTTTCTTAACTGAGGGAATTTGGTATAGGCTTTTTTTGGGGGTGATGAAAATGTTCTCTAATTATATAGTGGTGATGACTGTACAACTCTGTAAATATACCAAAACCAACCAAACTGTACGTTTTAAGGGTGAATTGTATGGTATGTAACCAACAAATTTCAGCCAAAATTTAAACATAAGTTAAGAAACTCTCCTAAAATGTAGAACGAACAGTGCATTGAAAAGATGTTAGAAAAGATAAAAGATATAGAGAACCAATCCAGGAGGTCCAAAAGCTATATTAGAAGTTTCAGAAAGAAAGAGAAAGCAGAGAATAAGAAATTAACAAAGGAAGAATGTGAGACTTTCCCAGATGTGAAGAAAGTCAAACTGAATGGGCCTCCTGAGAAGAAAGTGGAAAGAATAAAAGGCCTCTAAACTAGACATACTCACTGTGAGTACAAGAGAATAAGAGCCCCCAGGCCCCGAAATGGAAAAAAGAAGCTCACCTACAAAGGAGCAGGAATGAGATTGGCACACATTCTTTATTAGCAACCATGAAAACCAGGATGTAGTGAACAGCACATTATTGGCAACCTAGAATTGCAGACCCAGATAAACTATTATGAAACTTTGAGGGCAAGAAAATGCCTTTTCAGGGACACAAAAACTCTGCTTTCTTCAAAGTTTCTTTTCTGAGGAAGTTACTTGAGGATGTCCAGCAAAGCAAGGCAGTATACCAAGAAAGAAAAATTGTGGATTTGATGAATCAGTTCCGACAGGACAGCAATAAAAGCAGTTCCAGGCTGCTGGCTGTGCAGAAAGGCCTAGAAAACAGTCTGCCCATGTTGGAATGGGATCATGAAGGGTTTGACACTATTCAGGGAGGGAAAAAACCCCACAGACTCCAAAGGTAAGACAGTGTATTTGAGATTAGAATACTTCAAAGCTTTGGTTAAGGCAGATAATGCCTTATCAGAACAGAGAGTGGCAGAGAGCAAGAGAAAAAGCAAGGAAGGAAGGAAGAGAAAGGAAGAAAGAAAAATATGCTTTAGAAGATTCTAGGAGCGAAGCATATTACACGCATAAGGAAATGTAATCAACACATAATTTGGCTCTGCCATTAGTAGTTATATTATTTATAATGATGTAAGCACTGTTGATTGATTTTGAACTTTTCTAATGGAACCATAGAAAAAGCACATAAGACTAAATTATGGTTACAGAACAAAATATAAACGCCAGTCATTGTGACAAGGTAAAAATAAAAGTACAGATGATTTGAAAGATGAAAGGGGGAATAAGAAGTAAAGGGAAATGTAAGGGGGGAGGTGGCTAATATCCTCTTCTGAGAACATGAAAAGCTGTAGGATACCATCTGTAGTTGACAGAACAAAAAAGAAAGTTTTAATATATAATGTAGGTTACAAAGATAACCAACAGATAGGGGCAAAATGTTTGAAATCTCTTGTCGGTATATACACTATCTTACAATCTTTTTGTTGGGTGTTCCTATCCCTTTTTAATTTTTTCTGTCATTCTGAAGGAGTAAAGGGGATATAAACTGTCTGTTCAGCTACCCTCTGAGCCTTTTGTATGTTATTTACAAATCTCCTAAACCATCTTTCATGCACGAAATTCTGGCTTTCATGTCAACTGTTGAATTTTCCTCTGATGGTGCTGCCTACTGACCTATCGTTTAATTTTAGTAGAGTTTCCACCTTTAATCTATATATTGTGGATGTTTTTGCTATAGTGTGTATACATTCCTGGAAGCGTTTTGCAGAATTACATATTAGGAATCAGGATTCATGATTTAAAAAAAATCTATTAGCAGAGGCCCATTCAAAAGTCTTTGCAAATTAATCATCAGAGCACTGACAAAACTAGTAAGAATCTTGATAAAAGACTAGCATAGATAAAAAGATACACTAAGTTTCTATGAATAGAGAAACGTTACAGCACCTACAGGCTTTATGTGAACCAAAGAGTTGAAGGTAGCTTCCTGGAAGGGGATGTAAAGAGGAGGAGAGGCTGTTTAGTTGCGCTGAAGATCAAGCAAAATCCAACAGGAAGGACTTCCAAGGCAGGGTACGTGGCCAGGCAGAGCCCAGAGAACAAGCTGGAGATGTGTGTGCACTGTGCCTGGTGCTTGGTTCCTCTCATGGCTTGCAGTGCTCAGCTGTGTTTGTGTACTTCGTGTTCAGCTGCTGTTATTAGGTGGCGCAAAATGTTAAAATAATGAGAAAAAATGACAAATGAACAGATGTGACTTTTGTGTAATATTGAAATTATTCCGTTTGCCAGTTGTGTGTGAACAATTAGGTTTTAGCAGGACGTACTATATTTAAATATTTTAATATACTGTGCCTTTATTATACTAGAAAAGTGATTGAAAAGGAAGGAAATGTAATGCTGATTTCTGGGAATGCAAGACTTGAAACACAAAAGTTTGTTTATTCAAATTTCATGCCCTGGGTTTTCATGAAAATGATGAATAAAAAATATGCAATGACAGTATTATTATTTCTCATACCAAGAGGTTTTAAAAAAATTTAGTAGCTAAATATGCTGTTATAGACAAAATTTCTGATGGTAGTTGCTTTCTACCATTAAGACACAGTTCTATGATTAAATCAAACCCATCACTGACAGAGTAAGGTGTGCAGGAAAGATTTTCCGGACTTGCATCTAAGTTCAACCCCATTGCTGCCTTTTTGTCCAATGGAGAGCATCTGGTGTCCAGGAGTTTGTCCAAGGTACTGATAAATGGCAGGAATGCAGTCTGACACCCTGGAGAAGGTGACACTCAAGACTGCTATAGGTGCAAGTTGGAGCTAGAGGCTCTGACGGAGTGAATCTTCAACAGGCATTTTGTTTTGTTCCTTTTTCTTACAATCTTTAGTCCCTTATGAGATAGGGCTCTTGTTCTAGGTCTAGGCGACCACTATAGTAAACGTGCTGCATCACTCATGCCAAACGTTTTCTTCAGATGCCTCATCCTCCAGGGTTAAAATTTTTTTTTTTATTTTTGCCACCCCAGTTCTCCGTGGGTTTTTATTTCCTATAACAGCCAGCTTTTATCCTCATGAATATTGTCATGAACCCACGGATACCAGTGATAAGGTTGTAGCTGCAATCATAACCGATTTCTCCTCCTACTTTCTATACACACCACACCATTAGGAATTCTGACTTTTTGCTTCTTCGACTGCTATGTCCTCAGTCTTAGAGAGGCACCTCATGTTGAGCTTACCAAATACTTGTATAACTTTATTTGAGAACTTATTTATGGGGCATTGTAGAATTATGATAAACTCTACTAGCGATATGGCCTTGGCCAGATGGCTTAACATCTGTCTCTTTACTTGCAAAATGTAGGTCATCGTTTCAAATTTGCATGTTGTTGTAAGAATCACAGTAGCTTAGGAAACTCTGAAGGTCTGTCCAGTGCAAGGCAGTAGTACTACTGATGGCATTCTTCCTATGATTTCACCATTGATAAATTATTGTTCCTCCAGGGAGAGTGACTCCAGGGCAGCTCATGTCCTATATTCAGCTCTTCAAGAACAACCTCAAAGCTTTAGTGAATCACTGTGGGCTCCTACAGCTTGGGCTGGCCACAGTTCAAACTCTGAAACACCCACAGACTGCCAAATGGGACAACTTTCTGGCTTTTGAAAGACTCCTTCTCCAGGTATGTTGCTATGGGAATTTCTTGGGATATTAAGTTAAAATGTTCACTTCTGGGGAAAATCTTGGATATTTATTGTAGTCTTAGTAATAAGTCCTATTGTTGACATATACTCTATATCATATTCTCTAAGAGCCTCCAAATTAAAATTATACTAGGAATTTTCCATACCTATTCTTTTTTTGTTTGTTTTGTTTTGCTTTTTGATAGTGACTCTTTGGCTTTTCACTCAATACCAAGAATGTCTTTTGAGCATTCGACTAACCTTTGGGAACCTCTTTTCAATTTTATGCCATTTGGACCTTTCTTGATCTCCATGGCATCTTTATTCAATCCTTGCTACTTTTCTTATAGAATATTACTACTATTTACATTTCTTCTGACACTAACTAGTCTCTAATCCTCAGATAACATTTAGCATGTGGCTTAAAATGATGTTTAATAAAAGATGAAGGAAGGCAAAGTACATTTGTGAATGTAGTGAATTCGAAGTGATTTGTATGGGGTCAGAACCTTTTCATGATTGATGAAATATCTTCATGGAAAACTTAAGAAATTATAAAGCAATTCAAACTTAAATAAAATAATATGACCTAACTATGTACTCTCCACATAGACTCAATATAATTTACCTGTTTCTATGTTTATTCTATATCCTTTTTCACTAAAGAAATAAAATTAGAAATAAAGTTGAAACATTTCGGATACTATACCCTTCCTTGCTCTTACTCTCCTTCTTTCTTTCCCAGAGGTAGTCACTAACTCAATTCCTTGTTTTTATATTTTTATTAAATACTTATTTATCCACAAATAATACAGAGTATTGTGCTCTGGGTTTTACTTTTTATGTAGGTAATATTGTATTATAAATATTCCTACACAACTTGTGTTTTCCTCTCAACATTCTTTTTTTTAAGATAATTCAAGCTGACATGTGTAGATCTAGTTCATTTATTTAAACTATACCATGCTATTTGATTATATGAATATAAAATACTTTATTTATCCAATTCATATTTATCCAATGCAAATATTCCATATTTGTGTGTGTGTGTGTATGTGTGTGTGTAGAGGGACAGACAGAGAGAGAGGAAACACGGGAGAGAGAGAGAGAGAGAAAGAGAGAGAGAGAGAGAGAGAGAATATGGTGAATCTCCCAGGACATGTTTTTTGTTGTTTTTTGGTATACATGTAAAAGAGTTTCTGTAGGATACATACCTTGGAAAGGATGTTAGATTGTTGACCACGCATATTGTTGAGTTTACTAAATACCAGCAAAGTGATCGCCAAAGAGTTTGAACTAGTTGACCCTTCCATTAGGCGTGTATGACATTTCGTTTCCCTACATAGTGTCCAGTACTCAGTTTTATCAAATTAGAACATTTTTTAAATAGCTGGTCTGTGTCATTTCTTTATATATGTTTGCAGTTCTCTGACTCCTGATGAGTTTGAACATCTTGTATAGTATTTATTGGCTTTTCAGTTTTTCTCTTCTGTCAGTTGCTCATTCTTTTTTTTTTTTTTAAGTTTATTTCTTTGACAGACAGAGCATAGAAGAGCAGAGAGAGAGGGAGAGAAAATCCCAAGCAGACTCTGCACTACCAGCACAGGGCCCAGTGTGGGGCTTGATCTCATGAAATGTGAGATCGTGACCTGTCGATATCAAGAGTCAGACGCCCAACCGACTGAGGCACCCAGGCACCCTTCAACTGCCCATTTTTATATTGTGCCCATTTTTATCCATTGGGTAACAGAAAAACTGTCTCATATCATGCAAATACTTCTCCAAGGGTGTGGTTTGTTGTTTAACTTTAATTCCAGTATATTGTGCAGAAGTCTAAAATTTTAATGTAGTCTAGCTGGTTAATATTATCCCTTATAACTTGTGCTTATTTATGTTTTGTATTAGAAACCTATTTATACCCCTAATTTCTAAACATATTGTTCTATATTTCCACTAAAAATTAACTTTTGACATTTGAAATTTTAATGCACATGGAACTTATTTTTGTTAATGATACCATTCAGATCTAACTTTCTTGTCTTTTCTTTTTTCTTTTCTTTTCTTTTCTTTTCTTTTCTTTTCTTTTCTTTTCTTTTCTTTTGAGAAGAGGGCACAAGTGAATGAGGAGTAGAGGAGCAGAGAGGGAGAGAGAGGATTCCACAATAGGCAGAGAGAGAGAGAAGTGAGGCTTATCCACAGCTAATGTTTACCTGAAGTGGGGCTCAAGCTCACCTTATGTGGGGCTGGTACTCACTTGAAGTGGAGCAGGAGCTCACCCAAAGCGGGGCTCATGTTCATCCATAATGGGACTCAAACTCATGAACTGTGAGATCATGGCCTGAGCTGAAGTCAGATGCTTAACAACTGAGCCACCCAGGCACCTCTAACTTTCTTTTCTTCCACATGGATGGTCTGGTCTCCCCCACTATTTATTAAATACTCCAAGTACAGTAAATTATTTACCCAAGAGTCATTTTCCTCTTTCTCATGTTGGCAAAGCATCAATTTTGTTCCAGTGTCTGTTCTTCTCTCACATGATTCAGATAAATCCTGATTGGCCTCAGAATACATTGGCATTCTCCTTTCCTTACCTGATGATTAGTTTAGCAGTTCAAGTCAAAGACAGGCGAGGGGTGGTTTACTGGAAGAGTTTGTACAAAATGTTTTCTTTTGCCCTGACAGAAGATACATTATGAGGAAACAGTCTCCTTTTTCTGCCTCTTGATGTATGTTTGTGACATGAGCATTCTGTGATGATGGAGGGAGCTCACTGAGATCCTGAGGAAGAGAGAGGCTGGATCTTTGATGACTTTGAACCTTAGCTCAAATATCTTGTTTTGTGATACAATAATTCTCATTGTTTGCATCACTTAAACATGTCTGTTTTCTGTTATTTGGAGCCAAAACATATTCTTTTTTTCCTACTGATATATAAATACTAAGACGCCATACTAAGCCCAAAAGTGGGCTTATTTCTCACTTTCTATTCTGTTCCAGGTAAGTCAGTTTATCCATCACAGAATTAATATTACAGTGTTTTAAAACCAGAATGTCCAGTTTTTATGCCTTTCTTTATAAAAGAATTATGAGATTTATTTGTGGGTATTTTACAGATTTTAAAACCATTGTGAATTGAATTTTGGTTTTTTATTTGTTTTGTTTTTTTTTTTTAAAAACCATTGTGAATTGAATTTTGGCTTTTTATTTGTTTTTTTTTTTTAATACCATTGTGAATTGAATTTCTTAAGGTTAATTTTTAATAGTTTGTTGCTGGCATATAAGAACACTCTAGATTCTTGCCTGGTGATCACATGTCCAAAAGCTTGGCTTTTGCATTTATATTTGTTTCTTTCTTTCTACACTGGATACCATTTCCTTTTCTTTTTAGGGCCTTAACCAGATACGAGGACAGTGTTCAATAGAGGCAGTGAAATGAGGCGTCTTCATCTTATTCCTGAGTTTAAAGAAAATGTTCTAAAATTTTACCATTAAATATTATATTTGCTGAGGCCTTATTTATTTATTTATTTATTTATTTTACTTTATTAAATTAAGGCTAAGAAAGTTCCTTCCTAAACCTAGTTTGCTATGTTGTTGTTTTGTTGGTGTTTTTATCATATGTGAGTGTTGAATTTCATTTAATGCAGATTATGAATTTTTTTAGATGACTATGTGGTGAATTGTATTTATAATTTTTTAATGTTAAATAATCGTTATTGAGTTCCTGGATAAGTTCAACTTGGTCTCCCCCCCACACACACCCTTCCCCGCTGCTGGATTTAGTTTGCTAATACTTTACTTAGCTATTTGCATTTACGCTCATAGGTGAGATTAGCATATTATTTTTCTTTATTGTGGTGCCATTGTCTGGTTTTAAAACAAAGGTTATGGTAGTTTTTTTAAAAATTGGGATGAGTTTCATTTTCATATTTTCTGGAGCTATTTGTATAAGAAAGAAATCATCTGTTGCTCACAGGGAAACATCTCTGAAGAATCATCTCCACCTAGCTTTGTTGTTGTTAGATTTAGATTTTTATTTCTGATTTAATTACTTAATTGTTTCTAGATCTGTTTAATTTACTGTTTCTTCTTGAGATTTTGGTTGATATTAGCTTAAGTTGGCTATTCATTTGTATTTTCAAATTTATTGGCAGAAATTTATTCATAGAATTCTCTTAAACATTTAAATCTCCTTTGAATATATAGTTATAGTCCATTTTTAAATGCCTAGTTATTTTTATTTTGCTCACTTTGTTTTTTGTCTTGGTACTAGTGGACTTTTATTAATCATTCTAAAGATCCAGCTATCTATATCTACATTTATCTATTTCATCTATACCCATACCCATACCTATGTATTAAAGGCCATGAGTTCATACTAATCACATTTCTAATCTAATACCACAGGATTATTGTAGCTTTTTCCCTTTCCCTATTTGTGACTTCCCTCTCTGACCATGAAGAACCTATCTCCCATTACCCTCAACATATTTAATGACATGATAAATTCCCCCCATGTGTAACTAGTCTTCCATTAGAGCTGCTGCCCCTCTCACACCCTCCTCACCTCCCCTGGGCTCTGTCTTCCTGCTGCAGGCCATGGCCAAGTCCACATAGATGTTTGTTTGGCTTCACACACAGGCGGCCCTCCTGAAGCTCCCACACGGATGCCCTTCTTGCCTCGCCGGAGCTCTGACATCTTGCCCTGTGCTCCCCCAGCCTTGCCCTTGTGCACAGGGCCCCTCCTCACTCCTCTCAGGTCAGGAACCACCAGCAGACCCCATTGCTGCCCACACAGCACAGATGCCTCCTCACTCTGCAGGCTCTGACCCTAGCGGAATACTGCCATTGCCACTCCCCTGTTCAGACGATCTCACCTCCCTGCTCAGGCTCTGACATGGTCTTTGGATACTGCTTTTCTCCAACCTCCAATGAATGCTTTTTTTCACATCCTTTGGTTCTAACAACCCATGGAGAACCGTTGCTTCCTCCGTGGATCCCTTTATCACCCTTTGGGCTCTGATAACCTGCTCCAGGCCACTGCTCCAACTCCTTCTCTCCCCACTGCCACACCACACAGACAATGTCCTTACCCTGTGCTACCCACCGCATATGTCCTCTAAGGTGAGTCTCTAGTTGCAGAATCTAACAAAAGTGTTTCAAAACAAGGCAGAGCAGTTTTCTCCCAGGAATGATAGTCTTTCACCTCACTAGAGGTTTCTGAAGAAGCTTGACCCAGGATTAATTCTAAGCCATCTTATATTTATAATTAAGTGTTACGATTCTGTTCCATATTAGACTGCCGCAGATGTGACCACAGGACTTGGTGTGGTTTTTTTCAGCAAGTGGAAAGGAATAAAAACACTGGGAAAAAGAAGTAAGCATTCAAAATGTGAAAATCCTACTCTTATCATAATGGCACATTACCCAGGCTAGCACTGTTCTCTGTCATTTCTGGACCCTTGCACATTAGTATTTTAGCAGAGGCAAACTTGTAGACTGGCCATCGTAATTGCTCTTTGTATATGGACATGCTTATTTTATACAGTATACACTTATCCATTAGTGTAACAAGTCCTAATATATGGTGAGCTATCCCTTTTACAGACATTGGTTTGATATTAGAGCATCTAACCAGTAGAGTTTATTTTGAGGATGAAGGTAACTTCTAAGCTTTTCCCAAAGAGCTTGAGAGCCACCTGGATGCAAAGCTCAGCCAGCACTGAGAGTTGTTTATTTCTTTGGAGACTCATTTCCACCACTTTCTACCATGCCTCTGTCACCAGGACCTCAATGTTGACTTTATGGCCTAAGTAACATTATAGACATTTTTGGTTAAGAAAAAGAAATCAGTCCTAGAAATCTATACTTAAACACAGGTTACTGCATTTCCTCTACACTACCATCTTTTGGGTTAGTGGTTTAGGCGATTTTATGACAAGTCAGCAACAGATCTGAGTATAATTCATAAGACTTCTGTTTGGCTGAGGCTTCTGAAAATGATAGAAAGATAATGTTATGTGCTCAACGGAGAAACTTTTTTGAGTGTTGTTGGGAAAAATCTAATATTTATTAGCCGTGAATATGCTTTTAAAGACCAAAGGAGATAAAATAGCTTCTCAACTCCTTTTCCTTTCCTTAACTCCAAGGTCCAGTATCTCAATCTGTGTTTTAGGTGTTCAGTACATGTGTGCATGCACATTACCTAATAGTTGTTTCTGTTTCAAGTTTCAAGTGTATAAAAGAGCAAATTTAACCTGAACATGGATACATTTATGATTGTATTAGTGAATGTATTCACTGGTAAGAGTAGCTTTGCTTTATTTAAGTCAAAGTACGGATTTACTTAATTTGGATAGTAGTCTACAAAGAATTCTCTTTCTAGAGTGGAGCAAGAAAGTTTGATTTCATCACCTCATCTAATTAGGATTAAATTGCTTACCTCATAGTGTTGGTTGGTGTTAGAATTGAATGGAATTATATATGTACATCACTCAGTATAGTGCTTGACATTTAGTAAGCACTCAATAAATAGTAGTTATTATTTATTCTTTCCGCTGAACCAAAAATATTACAAATGCCAGTTTATTTTATAAGAGCAATGCTTTTAACATACTCTCACCTAGACTTTGTTTTTTCTAACTTAAAATCTGTTAAGGAAAAATGAGGTTGTTACTTAGGAAAATGCTACTGCCTTTTTTTGTATTTGTTGTTTGGTACTACTTAGCAGCATTTTTCTTTAAATCTAGATGTAAATCCCACTGTTCTGATATGCATATCTGATGTTTTTATGCTAATTGTCACAAAGAAAAACTTTATTGACCATAATTTATTATGGTTATGAAACAGTAGCAAGCTCTGTGGTAGAAGAGGCAGCTGTGTTTATATTTCCTAAAATAATATACTTGATACATATGTGTTTTCCAACTTCAGTTGTTTCTTCAGGCAGAATTTACATTTCTAAATTAAAATATCTAACTTGGAACGTGATTTTTAAATAAAATAAAATGAGTTACAAAGCCACTCAAGATAACCCAGGTACATGTTGCTTTTGCCTTAAATTTCACTTGTCTTTGCAATGAAACGTAGCTATACCATTTTACTAGCTGTCGAGCCAGTTTTTCTAAATGGGTAAAATGAACTCTTTTTATTATATACTGAATTTCAGAATACCTCTTCTACAACAAATCACATTTCCCTTAGCTAAATAAATAGTAGGCCTGCTTGTGCTGTAACAAACTGGGGGTTTACCTTCCTGGTCCTCTAGAGCTTCTGTGAGGTCCCCAGCCATGTGGCGCAGCTTGGAAGTGTAATGCCTCATTTCAGTTCCATGCCCGACCACACTGACACCGTGGGAGGTCCTGTTTTGTTGTGATTTGTCACTTGCAAGAGTGCTGGTCACATCATTGGGATAAAGGGTGAGGTATGAGGCAGAAAAAGATGATTCCCAAAGCAGATCTGAGTGTTGTTTACACATTAAGGAGATTTTTCATAGGATTTTTCCTGAGAAGAAAAATTATGGCTCATGTTTCAAAGAAAACCTCTTATTTATTTTATACTCTACTCTCAACAGTTCTGACACCAAACACGTAGGACTCCCTACACCAACCAGTCCTCTAACTCTAAACACCAACTGGGTGTCCTACAATTCAGTCATGACACTAACTAAATGGAGCTCGTGCAGACCCCACAGGTCGTAGGCACAGTCCCGCGAGTCTGCCCCCCATCTTAGACACCAGTTGCAAGTCTGGGCTTCTCATACTTCTGACCATACGGTTATATATTGGGTCCCCCACAACCCCTTTCTTGGGTTTGATAATTTGCTATAATGGCTCACAAAACTGGGGGAAACAGTTATCTCACTTCACCAGTTTACTCTAAAGGGTATTACAAAGGATATAGGTGAACACCCAGATTAAGAGGCACATAGAGTGAGGTCTAGAAGGGTCTTAAATGCAGGAGATTTGTCCCTGTGTGGTTGGAATGTGCCACCCTCCCAGCACATGGCTGTGTTTACCAAACCAAAAGCTCACTGAACTGTATACTTGAGGTATTTTTATGGAGGCCTCATCCTGTAGGCAGGATTGATTATTAACTCAGTCTCTAGCCCTTCCCTTCCCTGGAGAAGAGCAGATAAGGCTGGAAGTTCCAAGCTTCTACTCATGGCTTGGTCTTTCTGGTGACTAGTTCTCAGGAACTATTCAGGAATCCACTAAGAGTTACTTCATTAGAACAAAAGATGCTCCTATCACCCAGGAAATTGCAGGGGTTTTAGGAGTTCTGTGTACCAGGAACCAGGGTCAAAGACCAAATATTAGAACAACTGATGATCCTAGAATTCCTATTGCTCAGGAAAATATAAGGGTTTTAGAGGCTGTGTGCCAGAAATCGGGAGCAGAGACTACATTTTTTAGTAGCATATATAGTATAAAAAATATATATACTTTTTTTTATTATGT